ATATAAAGTTATTTAACTTTTAAAAATGGCTCGTTTTGTCCACATACTTTTTTTGTAAAAGCATAATTTTACAAGATACTTCAGATAAGGAACTGAAAGCCTTGCCAAGGAAAAGGTATTCCCCCAAGTGGGGGATGGGGGTGGGCCTGAGGGCCGCTTATGTGGGGTACACTCACGCTGGCTAACAACCAGAGCTTCATGCTCCCTTATCAAAACCTCATCCCAGCCTGTGAATTGGAAACTCACACAGTCTCGGCTACCTCACTCACTCACACACACACACACACACTCACACTCATGGAAATCTGAGAAAGGAGTCTGGGGCCTGAGTTTTTGCACTCACATCCAGTTTGGCTTTTCTGCCACCCTGGTGGAGTTTTAGTTGCGCTTTCAGGGATTCTCGGGGAACCTTGCTGGGAAGAGAAGCCTAAGGGAATTGGGTTTCTGTCCTTTTCCTACAGTGAGTTTTAGGCTAGATCCACCCAGCGCCTAGGACCTGTAGGGAGGCTATTAGAGAGTTGGTATTTTTCTCCGCCTTATACTTTGGCTTTTACAGGGTTGTGCAAATGGTTCTATAGAAACACGTTAGAATCTGGTTTCCTCATCCTCCTTTGTTCCTTGTTCTAAACAATACAACATATTTAAAATAGGCAACTCCAAACTGCAGGCGCATTAGACTGCAGTTAGCAATACAGGCACTCCAAGGGTGGGCCGTGTAGGCTGAGGTTGTATGCGTTTCATTTCTGCTAGGTCCAGCCAACAGGAAAGCCCACCACTTCTCAGAGTTGGCCTCCCATGGAAGAGAGACTAGTAGGTCCCAGATGGAAGCCCTCACCACTTTCCAGCAACTTACACTGGTACGATTAAATGCGCTCCTGTTCCCTGTCCCTCGGAAACTATGGTGACAGGGTCTAAGAAAGTCGGGAACTGGGGAACTGGTAAATTTCAAAGTGAGCATGTTCCAGCTCCACAATCTCTGATGGGTGACATGGTTCTGTGGAAAGAATCTCTAGAATCTATTTCCTTCCAACCCTTTCCAGACTAACAGTAACAGTGGTCAGACCGACTGGCTGTGCAAAATTTCAGATACACTCTTCTAATCCTGAATCAAGTGTGATATTCGCAGTTCCAGGGCGGTCTTGGCTAAATTTTCATCTACTGGCCTCGAAGAAGTTGCCAAGGAATCTCATAGGCGCTGAGGTCTCCCCGACCTGCATTTCCTGAGACAGTCCCCAGGCAGGCCATGAGCCTGGTGCCAGAACCTGGGAGGAGGACCACCAGGGCTTCTGGCCA